TAAGATATAAAAAAGATAATTATATAGATAGTTTGAACTATAGAAGTTTTTAGAATTGGAGTTAGGTTAGTAGACCGGATAAGAGCGACCATAGAACATTCTAAAAGAGTTTAGGGTGATTATTTAGATAGGATCCACCATAGAATCTTTTAAAAAAAAACTTAGGGTGATTATTTAGATGGGGCCTACTACCTAAGAACATTCTAGATAGTCCAAGGGTGATAGGATAAGGTATAAATAGGACTGGCTAGGGCCTTTTGGGACATTTGTTAAGTATGGTTTCAATCCCTTTTCTTTAATAAAATTTAGTTTTCCATCTTTTTGTTTAATTCTATTTTTTTATGTTTCTATCTACTCAATTGTCTTTCATGTTTTATTCTGTATAATTCCATTCAATTCTATTCTTGTCTATTTTGTCCTATTTAATGATGAGATTTTATGTTATTGTGGAATAGAAGGATCTTGGATTTTTGAGATGGCCTTGTTATGTTCCACCTTACGTGAGTAAGATGGAGCTATCATTAAGATTCTAATACTAGGAAAGAAGGTGAAGACTTTCAAGAGAAGAAATGGATGGTTTCAAATAGAAGATCTTGAAGAATTCTTGCTTCAATATTTGGACCAAGAACATGAAGAAGAAAAACCTATGACTAATTTAAAGAAATTCTAAGAAGATGAGGAAGAGTAACATGTGGCACATATTAGAAGATGTGCAGATTTGGAAGAGGTGGATGTCATACAATAGTTGCTTATAGTATCTAAAAATTAATTAAAATAAATATCATGTTTGTAAGTCTTAATATAGATTAAAGTAGTTAGCAAGTAAATTTAAAGAGAGTTGATATAAGAATTATTTTTTGGAGGTTTATCTATTTTAATTATAGTATTTATATTATATAAGATTTAGATATTTAATATAAAGCTTAAGAGAAGGTTGGAATCTAAAAATAAAAGTCTAAATTATAAGAAAGCTTATTGGAAAGGATGAAAGTAAGGTATGGTTGGATGAAGACAAGGGATAAAAATCTTCATCCCTATTGGTCGAATGTCATATCCAATGGACTTCAAGGAAGCTACTTGAGGCCTTATTAGGGATTAAGGTTTTTCTTTCAAAGTCATTTGAGCTTTGGACGCTAGAATCAGCAAGTTTAGATTTTTAGATATGATTTGGATACAAAGTTTGTGTAATTTGGAATTTTTATGAAGGAATTATAGGCACTGAAACTTAAGGTGTCAATTTCATACCTACTATCACTCTTTGGGGTATAACATATGCTTTCAGAGAGCAACAAAGAATCAGCAACTAGGATTGAAGAGAGTAATTTTTTGACTATATTAATTATATATTTTTTAATAAATTCTAAGCCTAAATAAAGGAGTTATAAGGCATTGAAGACAATACATATAATTCAAAGATAGTAAGTGAATCATTTTGTTGATAGTAATGATTGGAACTATATCTTGAATTTTTGGATGAATTTTTGGCTCAAAAATTTTACAAGTATATGTTATTAGGTTAAAAATCTATAGATCAAAGTTTCATGATATTTAAATACTTATTTTTTGAGATATGAAGAAAATTGCATGTGGGTGTATATAAGCAAGGGTTTGAAGCTACTGATAGGATCTTGATCATATCTCAAGATCCATAATGAATTTGTAGTTGAAATTTGTTTTGATAGTTGTTGAAAGTATATCAATATTTTATGGAAAATTTTAATTTTTTAGACAATCTTATATGAAGTATATAAGGTTTTAAGACATTTTATCATATATTTGGATTTTTTTTTTTTTTTTTTTTTTTTTTCTACTTAAGTTTATGTATTGATGTAATTGCCTTAAAAAAAAATATTATATATATAAACTTGAAACTTTAATATCTTAGACTTGATTGAGTATTTACTTGCAGTCAAAAGTCCAGGGCTTTCTTGAGGCAAACTCTCTCTACCTCCACAATGTATTTGTAGTTGATTGATAGGTGAAAAACTTGGTCAACAAGTTAATCACGTGTCACATGTGTTGATAGATTGTGGAACAAGCTAACTATTTAGCACACAAATAAAAAAAACTTGTGTTGTAAGTTAAGACATGTGTCTAACAAAATCAATATATATAAGAAGTCCTATAAATTATTACCACATAACTCCTAATTAGATAGTGTATGTGGATGCAAGAGTAAAGTCGTTTATACTCTTGTTGATGCTTTTTTAGTCCTTAATCTTATTTCAATACTTTTTAGTCTTTTTAGTCTTTTTATCTTAAGTAGTAGTCATCCTAATTTAATATTATATCATCTTTGAGTGATTACGTAGTCTTTTCAAGTGATATAAGAGTGTATTAATCTTTTAATCCTTTGAGGTTCATGTCATTGATAATTTTTCATTCTTGTCAATTCTTTTCTTACTTATAGTCTAGTTTCAAGGATCTTTAGTTTTCTTATCTTTTAGCAATGACCATTTTAGTTTCTTCATGAATATAATTATTTATTCATTTTTTTTGTCAACTTTCTTTGAAAAAAATCTCATTTATTTATTTATATCTATTAAGTTCTTATCCTTTACACATTAATAAGAGTACACTTTCAATAATATAGCTTTGACTTTTTGCAATTAAAAGTAGACTACTTCTTTCTTTTAATAAGATATAAGCATATTAGAAGTTAAAGATTATTGACTTTTAAATTGATGTTGTTTTTTTATCAAGTCATTTTTTTTTATATTTATTTTAAGTAATATTAGATATTTTTTTATTATATGATTATAGTAGAATTTATTAAAATAAAAATTATGATGGTACAAATATAAGATTAAATAAATGAAATAATGCTTACAATGCATCAACTCAATTTATTATCTTAAGAAGCAATAAGATTGATAAGAAATAAAGATATAGAGATGATTAGAGCTATTTTAACATCTACATCAAGTCATATTATTTTATCTATAGTAGAATATTATTTAAGCATTAAAAAATCAAGAATTACCGTATTTAAAAAATTTGATAATATAAGATCAAAATTTTGAAAATTCATTAATCAAGTGGAATTAGTGATTGAATTTTAATTCCTAGGTTATTCAACTCCAAAATCACAAGTCAAGTTTATTAGAATAATACTTTTAAATTTTGCATTATCATTATTTTATCTTTTTTTGAATGATGTGATCTAATATTAGATTATTTAAAGGCTTTTTGATAAAGTTTGGATTTATATATGAAAAATATGATACAATTTATATTATAACCAACATGATTTATATTTTGTAACATGACAATCAATTAATATTGTTGTATATTTCATAATTTTTATAAATTTTAATTAATATCAAGTAAAATCTTATTAAACTTATTAGTCAATTTTTCTTTAATTTATAATATGAGATAAAAAAAATTAAAGTTAAACTTAATCTTTAGACATTGAATTAAATAATTGACTTTGTTATAAAGTGTAAAAATTAGCTTTTTGAATTTAATATGAAGATTACATAAATAGGCCTAAATATTTTTATAATTTAATGGCAATACTAAAGTGTTTACAATTCATGCATTCAAAGGTGGAAGATATGCAAATTTTTATAATATATTTAAAACTTCTTATTAAACAAAAAAAGACTTGTCATTATTAAGAAGAATTATGCTTATATTATGGAGAATCCAAGCAAACTACTCAACATTATTTAAATAAGCAATATAACTACAAAATAAGAAGTATAGCTATCAAAGAAGATAATATGTCAAAAAATAAGTTTGTCCAATTATAATAGAAATTGTGTTGTTTGAATCTTATGCAATACCTAGTCAAGGTCGTATTTTCTCTTTAAAATAATTTTCTTATTCTACAATAGACATCAATTTAAGACCTAAACATCACAAAGCTTTTACCTTACTAGATTTAGAAACTTAAAATTATATCTTTAATAAAGAATTTATTAAAAATATATATATAATACACTTTGACTATTAACATTAAGTCAATTAAAGTTAAGTGGTTATTTGTTAAAGTTAAGTGGTTAAGTGAAGCTGGTCTGTTGTTGGATTCATCACGCACTCCGACACGACCTGCGACTGTCCCTCCCTCCCTTCCTACCTCCCTCCTTGCCTGCCGCTCGCATCGAATCTACCCTCCTTGCGGGTGAAGGCAGCTTTGTGGCATTCACGTTCCAGAATGTCGCGTTCAAACCCGGCACCCCAGGCTTTGACCCTCATTCATTCTCTCCCTCCCTCTCTCTCTGCACCGCTCTGCCCCAGACATCAATGACCCTCCCTTTCCCCGTTAGCTGCACTTATATGTCAGGTAACCCTCCACTATTCATCCGCACTTCATGAGAAGGATGTTCTCTGCTGGCATTCTTAAACACTTGGACTCTGCTCCCACCTTTCATCTCGCTTTCAGGGTAGAACTGTCCAATGGTTACGGTACGTTGAGGTAACATTTACTTGTGCCTTGTCAAAAGCTGGTACTGCTGGACTTTTGCTTTGATGGATGGGGAAGTCGCTCACGATCTGGAAATTATCCTTGAAAGAATTTCATGTGAGCAATATTCTGCTGCGAAAACAGAATGTAGAAGGGAGTTATCTCTTCAAGTCGCGAATATTAATATATGAATGCCGTTGTTCACCGACCAGATGGGACTCGTGAGTGTTTGAAGCAATGGGCAGATCAAGGAATTGCAAATAATTCCCACCAGGAGATTTTTAGGGTGAGATGTCTAACAAGATGACAGCACGTGACTATGTTTGCGTTCATTCTTCAGAACGATGCTTACACAAATTTCTCAACCGCTCTCAGTTACACTACTTTCGACAGACACACCCTGGACAAGACAAGCGAGAAACGACGGCTGACCTCAAGAATACCAGTTGATCCTATTTTAGGTTAGAAGCCATGAAACGCGTTAAAAATAACATTTGGCTTGATACAATTCAGGTTTGGAAAAACTATTCGAGACACACCTTGCCTCTTTGATCAATGACGAATTGAAAGGATGTCAAAAAACACAAAGTTCGCTTACGATAATATACGAGATAATTATATTGCCAAGAAAATATTCAAAATGAATCTCAGCGGTAAAGAATTTCCGGTTTCCAATTGCACTATGGTAGTGCATTGAGTCCAAGCTCGAAAAAGCAAATTGAATAGATTCGAAGTTCAACGAGAGACTAGGTGTATCAAGTTGGCTGTACTCGAAGATGTCTATAATCCTAGTCGTCGCGCACACCATGAAGTGTTTCCACTCCCAGAAGTGACTTAACTTCAGAAAAGCCTCGGGAAAAAAATTGCTTCTCATTTCCTACTAATCTGAAAGTACAAAATACGCTGTAGCTTGAATCCTTTTCACTAGTGCGGAAGCAAGCCCAGCAGCCAAAATTGTGGTAGGTTCAGTGCTGCACATTCTCTCCGCCACTTGAGAAGTCCTCATTGGAGCACAACCTGTCACCCAGAAACAATAGAAAATTAAAAAAGGATCGGAAAACATAGAGGATAGTGTCTCGGAGTATTTTCAACAGGCGGAATATGGAAATTAAGCCACAGAAAAGCCAGTTGAGTGCAGAAACCATCAGGTGTTCCAGGTGTCAGCTGTCTATCAAATGGATAACCTCGAAAACCAACCAACGGGTAGATTACAGAAGAGTGATAAAGGAGACGAATATCGAAAAACTTAACAAGTGTGAAGATGCTCACAAGTGGCTTAGTTGGGGTAACCGTTATAATTGTGGGGAGGGGGAGGGTAAGGATGAGGAGTGCGTCCGCCGGAGGGATTGCGCACCACTGGGGGATTGGGAGCGGGCCGGTTGTTGTTGGGAGGTGGATTAGGATGGTTAAACAACCGCAACCCAGACCCGCTGTTGTCTTGATGCACCATGATGACGAATGCTACGAGCCTTCACCCTCCGCAAGTCACCGCCACCGAACTTGAGCGATACGTGAAAGTGCGGTATACAAGTAAGCAGGGAGGAGGATTGGTGGAATGATTCCGAGTGTGCTAGACCTCTCCAAACTAACTGCGTGCTACGGTGGCCCTGATCGTTACAGAAACACACTAGGATTCTAGGAGAACAGCTGATTTGTAGGTAGGAAACCGTAGACAGTTTAGGTTCAGACAGGAAAACGAAGGCAATAGAACCAGAGTGGCAACTAGCCGACTTCACAATTGAGCACAACAGTGATGCTGAAAGGAACACTTGATCGCATAAGTGATGGGCAATGAAAAAATGGGAGCGGGGATTGGAATTAATACAAGTGCTTTGACAGACGAATTGGCGCAGCATGCGAAGTCGACCTGGGCTCATGGACAGGCTATGGAAGTTAGCATCCTACAATTGAAACCCACAAGTAGCCCCACTCATGAGGCTGAGTGCGGTCCGGATTCCTAGCATGGCACTTTGCAGCAGTAGAACCGGAAAATCCCTGCTGATTGATGATGGATCTATTGGGGCTTTGAGCTGGTCTGCCTGCCAGCGCCGCCACGCCTGCAACTTCTGTTCAGGAACGGCGACATGCGCCCTCGAAAAATGGGAAGCCTGGAGCTGCTGACGTTCGTAGCGTTCCAACTTCCCTCCGCTGGCTTGATTAGGTGAACATTCTTTCCCTTGCTGCTGACCCACAGGCCACCGGCTTTTATTAGCAACATTCCCTCGGATGTCGACTTTGCAACACTTTTGTGATGGACAAGGGTTTGCAAGGGTGGATCATTAATGCTGCTCCTTTTAGCCTCTCGAATGAATGAGTAGATGGAATAGAAGATCTCAGAAACAATCCCCTCCGCGTTGGTGACTCGCGCCTTGCTATGACTTGAAATCAAGTTTTTCGGGTGGATTGCTTCCAGGATTTCCCGTGGTCCTTCAGATATCTACACTGGGTTGCCGGCGGTTACTCACCACCTAGATTTCTTGAGTACGTTTCCATTTCCATTTCTTAGATCGCAGCTGCAAGGTAGTTGTCCTAGAGATCAACTCTGGTAGCGCTGTGAATATTATATAAATTACCGCTCGAAATTAGAGGGATGGCCGCAGTTCGATATGACTGGTGAGCAGCAAGAAATCAAATGAAAGAAGCTAGTCGTCGAAGTCGTGTAGGGCGTGATGAAGACTTTTAATTTTCGGGAATTGATCAACGGGGAGTTCTGTAGGGTAAGCAGTTGTGCTTAATAATGATGCCGGAGTACGCCTTTTCCATCGTGCCTTCGATTTCCTTCGCCGCTGCTGGCTCATGCACTGCCCTCCAGGCTTTCTCCAGCAATAGTGCCACCCATAATGGGCCCCCCATTACAGTATACCCACTTTCCCTCATTACACCACAACCACTTACCCCTGGCACCCTTCCAGGTTTAAGCACTACATGCAGCACAGTTTGGCAGAGCACCCAATGGACTGGTACTGAATGAAGGTAGATAAAAAGAAATCTCTCCCCCTAAATTCGTGCACTCATGCTCCTAACGGAAGTCCCCATTAATTCGGGATTCACGATAACAGCTGTGAAGGTGTAAAAACGGCAAAGAAAGATATTACAGGTCCTTTCAATGTGAACTGACTACTTTCACCTGAGAGCAAATGCAGATGGAACGGATTTGCACTTGCAGAATGGTGCTCTAACTACATGATCACTGGTGAGAGGTCCAGGCCACAGCAGTTTGCTACCAAAAGATAAACTTGTCAGGTGCCTCATTGCCTTCCAATATTTTTCTGTGTTGAGAGATCATGGGATCCTCATTAGCAGTGGGCCCTGATCAAAGCATTTTCCAAAGCCCAGTGTGGTTTTACTGGCCAACAGACAGTCCTGCAGGCCACAGTGCAAGACAGGCTCACTTGGGATGAAAAGACTGGAACCAAATAGGCTTGGCAGGTTAGTGCTGGGAAGGGGGAGATCTTGGACAGATTTGTCACAATAAACTTCGAGATGTGCATTGGGCCTCAACATGACTTTATCAATGCATCTCGGAATTGATGACTTTGATCATGAGCCTCAGTACAAAACACCTTCATGACAAAAGGGGATGTTCAATTGTGCACTTGGCAGCCCCTTGTACTTTAGACACAAGATTCTTCCTCTTCCACCCATGCAGGTATCCAGAATTTCAACACCTCATCTTTCTTATGTTGAAAGGTATACTCTGCAAATCCATGCCACCTCATGTCCTTTCATACCATGCACCAAGGTTTGCAACCATGGGGCTGAAACTATTGGGAAGTTTTATGGACAGTTAAACTAAACTTTAGAAGTTTGTTTTCAGGAACTCTTCCTTATTTACTTGGCTTTGGCTTTTGCCATCCTTGCCCCTTTGGTCATTCTAAAACCAAACTTATCTATTGGTTTCCATACACCTTTTTTGTTGTTTTGTTCCTTCTCTTTTGCCACATTCTCTCAGCATTCTCTTCATTTCTTACCTGATTTTTCCAACATTGAATTACAATCATGTTTGCATCAACAAATTTATGTATGATATGATGTAAAATATGTATTCAACCCTAGCATTTAAGCAATTTTAAACAGAGGCTAAGTTTTCTTCATTATATATATATATATATATATATATATACACATGAATTAAGCTATTCAAAATTTTAAGCGAAAAAAAAAAAAAACAAAACAAAACAAAACAAAACAAAAAAAAACAAACACACACACACACACACACACATGTAATGAGATTTAAACATGCCACAAATGCTTGGATTTATTTATTTTATGATATAAAAAAGTGTTCATATGAAAGACAAAAATATTGACATGTATGAGTTTAATGTTCACATGATATTTATTTTTAAATACTATAATGGATGTTTTTTTAAAAGATGCGTGTGGATATTTTCAACTTTTGAAGAGGACATGAAGTTGCAGGTGGTTATGCATATCAAAGGAAAGGAAATAGTTCATTAGTGTCACTGTCACCAGCCATGTTCTGGTTAGGCAACATCATGTTTCGAGAATTGATTTCAGGGAATAAGGTACTAGTATGGGATGAATTAAGCAGTATGTTCTCCAACAGGGATGGCCAACTTGTCTATGCTGAAGATAAGTTGTGGTTTTTTCGACCATTCCTTCTATTGAAGAAATACTATAAGCATAACACAAGTAAGTAGAAATCAGCAAGGTTGCACATAAGAGAAGTGTGGAATGAGATAATTCTTACTTCCAACACCCGTTACTTATAATCAGAGTTCACATCCAATATATATAGACTTCATCCACATTCATCTATAACTAGCTACCACTCGAGACCCTAAACTTAACCGCCTCTCGAGACTCTAGCCGCCACTTAGTCCTTAGTTGCTTTTGACCATTAGTAACTTACCTAAGAGAATATTCTCTATAAGATAACTTATTCTATTTTTACTATTACCTATTTATCTCAACATCTTTATCTTTTACCTCAACACTCCCACTTTGCTAATTGTCAAAGCCCTTCAAACCTAATGCCTTTGTCAACATATGATATCTATCTTTTATCAATGCCTTTGTTAACAAATCAGCAGGCATATCTTCTGTTGCACAATACTTCAAGTCAATCACTCCCATTTCAATCTTCTCTCTTATAAAGTGATGTTGAATGTCAATGTGTTTGGTTCTTGAATGATGCTTTGGATTCTTTGCAAAAGCAAGGCATCCTTGATTGTCACAATTCAATAGAGTTACTTCCAATTGCACAAGTCCAATGTCCTCCAAAACTTGCCTTAACCATGTTGCTTCCATTGCACCATGGCTTGCTGCCATGTACTCCGCCTCCATTGTGGACCTTGCAATTGTGGGTTGCCTCTTGCAATTCCATGAAATTGCTCCCACTCCAACAAAGAATACATAGCCCGTTGTTGACCGCCTATCATTTGCATCTCCTGTCCAATCCGCATCACAATAACCATGCAAAGCAATACTTTCACCTCCAAGGCACAATTTGAAGTCCAAAGTGCCTTTCAAGTACCTCATGATCCTCTTGATGGTTGCCCAATGAAGTGGTCCTGCTTTTGACATGTGTTGACTTACGACACTCACCGCATAAGCAAGATCCACCCTTGTGCCAACCATTGCATACATGAGTGACCCAACTACTGCTTTGTATGGAACACCTTACATTTGGCTTTCAACTTGTGCAAACTCTTCATCCGTGAGCTTCATCAACTTCAAATTAGACTCCAAAGGTGTTCCAATAGGCTTGCAATCCTCCATGTTGAATCGTTTCAACACTCCTTCAATGTACTTCCTTTGGCTCATTGTGATGGTCTTGTTAGCACGATTTCTTGCAAATTCTACTCCTAAGCAATAGTGAAGCTCTCCCAAATCACTCATCTCATATTCTTTTTCTAACTTTACCTTAAACCAATCCATCATCTTTAGAGTACTGGTTAAGATGATTAAATCATCTACATAAAGAATAACAATCATCAAGAACTCTTTTGATTGTATCACATACATAGAATGGTCAGCCTCACTTCTTTGGAATCCCTCATTAACAAAGAATGTGTCAATTCTTTGATACCATGCCCTTGGAGATTGTTTGAATCCATACAAGGATTTCTTCAACTTACAAACAAGATGTTGCTTACCTTCTTCTACAAATCCTTGAAGTTGATCCATGTAGATGTCTTCTTCCAACTCTCCATTCAAGAAAGCCGTCTTCACATCCATTTGATGCATCTCCAAGTCCATTGCTACCCCAATTGCCACAATGGTTCTAATGGTGGTGAACTTAGCCATGGGAGCAAATGTCTCATTGAAATCAATACCAACAACTTGTGAGTATCCTTTGGCAACTAGCCTTGCCTTATATCTCATAATATCACCCATTGCATCCCTCTTGGTTCTAAACACCCACTTACAACCAATTGAAGATCGATTTGGTGGAAGTTGAGTCAATTCTCATATTCCATTGCTCATGAGAGATTTGTACTCTTCTTCCATAGCCTCCTCCCACTTCAACGCATTCATAGACTTCATAGCATCACATATATTCAATGGATTAGCAAGGAGTGCAATATTTGCATGTTCTTCACTTACTTAAGGAAAGATGTGGTCCTTCCACCATTCACCACGTTGTTTTCTTTCTCTTGTAGGATATCTTCTATCATTTGAAGAAGATTCACCTTGATGCTCTCCAACCTTCTTTTCTTTTGAACCTTGTCTTTTTTCACTCAAAGGTTGGTATTCCTCATCATCATCATCATCTTCAACTTCTTCATTGTTTGTCATACCAATTGTATACACTTTCTTCTTCTTCTTCTTCATCTTCTTTGGTTCTTCATGTTGATTCAAATCTCCACTATCTTCATTGTCTTCATCTTCTTCTTCTTTTTTTGTTGCTGAAATTGAAGATGTGTCCACAAATACACCATTACTCCCACTTGGACACATCTCCAAGTGCTTACAAGCACTTTTATGCTCCATAAATTCAACATCACGACTTATGATGATCTTCTTGGTATCCAAACACATTAGCTTATATGCCTTGGTACCTTCACAATATCCAAAAAACACACATTTTGTACCTTTTGCATCAAATTTGGACCACATACAATCTGGTATCTTTGCATAAGCAATGCATCCAAAAGTCCTCATGTGT